CGCAGACTCACAAAGCAGGTGCAGCTACACACTGTACAATAGCGCTGAGAGCTGATTGGAGGGAAGGGACCCCCCCACACACAGCAACAGAGCTGAGGATCTCAGTCTGCTAGAGCTCCCTCCCCCGTCACCATTTTTCTCTTGGTGTCAGGCTGACACTTAGAACTGTGGATCGAGACAAGAACACACTATAGATGGATATACTTTGTTCAGATGTCCAAGGTTTACTATCACTTTAAAGCTGAAATCCAGGAAAAGTCTGTATTGCATGTTTAGTCCAGCTTGACACAATGCAAGTATGCATTGATAGACCATAGAGGAAGTGGAGAATGATTTTAGTAGTCAATGCTGCTACTGTGTTCTTCTGGATATCTGCACACTGACCATGGGGAGTCACTATCTTGGCACGTCTGCCATTCATTGAGCACTTTGTATTTAATTTTCAATGAATGCAAGGTGTTTTCTGATTGGAAAAAGTGGAGCTGGGAAATTATGCTTTCCACCTTATCCAATTATAGAAAGTCTTGTATTCATTGAACGAAAAATACAAGGCTGCTCTTCTGATATGGACTACAAACATGCCTGTATTTCTTCATCACCATTTACATGGGGGGCAGGGCATTTGTTAGTTTACAGAAGATAGCTAGGAAGACAGATATTCTTTGGTGCAGCTAACAGAAAGTAACAATGTGTCTGGCAAGATCAGAAAGTATTTTTTGTATTTGCTGAGAATATTCTTGCAGCTGCCACATCTATGGACTAAAGGTTGTGATATATTACATTTTGTCCTTGGGTTTACTTCTTCTTTAAGTGAGCAACCAGCATAGCATAGCACTCTTGATAGGTACAACAATGTGATATTTGATCCTAGCATACAGTGTATTCATAAAGTATTCAGACCCCGCTCACTGTGTTCAATTTTGTTATGTTGCAGCCGGATACTACAGTTGTTTAAATTCATTTTTTTTTTCGTATTAAATTACACTCCGTACCTCATAATGACAAAGTGATAACAGAATTTTAGGAATGTTTGTGAATTTATTGTAAAGAAGAAAACTGAAATCTCACATATCGGCTCCAGAGATCCAGTGTGGAGGTGGGACAAAGTTCCAGGACGACAACCATCACTGCAGCCCTCCACCAATCTGGGCTTTATGGCAGAGTGGCTAGACAGAAGCCTGTCCTCCATGCCAAACACATGAAAACACGTTGAGAGTCCTTCAGGTGTTTTTTGCAGACTCCAAGCAGGCTTTCATGTGTTTTTGGTGGAGAGGCTTCCATGTAGTCACTCTGCCAAACAGCCCAGATCGGTGGAGGGCTGCAGTGATGGTTGTCCTTCTGGAACTTTGTCCCATCTCCACTCAGAATCTCTGGAGCTCACTCAGAGTGACCATCGGTTTCTTGGTCACTTCTCTTACCAAGGCCCTTTTCTCCCGATTGCTCAGTTTGGCTGGCTCACCATTTTTTGGAAGAGTCCTGGTTGTGTTAAACTTCTTCCATTTGAGAATTATGGAGACATCTGTGTGATGCACTGATCTTCAGTGAATCTTCAGTTTTCATCTTCAGGGAATCTTCAGTGCAGCAGATATTTTTTGTAGCCTTCCTCAGATCTGTACCATGCAATAATCCTGTCTCTGAGCTCTGCAAGCAGTTCCTTTTGACCTCATGGCTTTTGCTCTGATACATTATGCATTGGCAGCTGAGGTCTATTTTTCGGAGAGGTGTGTGCCTTTCCAAATCATGTCCAGTCAGTTTAATTTACCAGAGGTGTAGAAACATCTCGGCAATGATCAAGAGAACCCGGGAGGCACCTGAGCTAAATTTCAAGGGTTGTTGTAAAGGGTCTGAATACTTATGTCATTGTGATATTTGTTTTTTTTTCAATTTAATAAATTCACACCTTTCTAAAATTCTGTTTTCACTTTGTCAGTATGGGGTACTGAGTGTAGATTAGTGGGGAAAAAATGAATTTAAACTGTTGCATCAGGCTGCAACATAACATTGAAAAATGTGAAGCGGGTCTGAGTACTTTATGAATGCACTGTACGGCGGTTTTAGGAGTCCAGCCAGACACACACAGAAAATGAAGGGGCAGTTAGTCTGCTTGGTTTTAATTTACAGTAAACATCCGAACACTTCTATTTCACTTAGCAAAATTTAATGGCCAGATTTAAAATCTGTCTCCACACACTGAACTTCAATGGAGATGTCATATTTGTTTAAAGTGGGCCTTATTAAGTAATCAACCTGCCCAAAAGCAAATATCACAAGATGCCCACGTGAACCTTTTTAAAGGTTGGAAAAGCCTATTCTGTGGCCTTCTCTGATTTAGTTTCAGTTTATTACTAGAGCCTTATTTTTTCTTTTTTTTTTTTTCCCTCTCCACTTAGCACAATGTAATTGGAAATGTGACACTGAGAAATAAAAAGAACATTTATAGATCTGATTTTTTTTTTTATTTATTTTAGATGTTCAAGAGATAAGACTGAAAACCCAATGGTGCAGCTGTTCTATGGTACATTTCTTAATGAGGGATATCTGGAAGGTATGCTCTCCATATTGCTCGCAGTAATTGGGCGGTGTGAGAATAAATACAGTGGACATTTTTATTACTTGAGAAATGAGCTACATTTTTACCATACGTGCTCTATATTCATATGTTGCCTGACACATGAGAAATATTTTGGCAGATTCAGGCAGTTCTTGATTTTGATAGTGTGATAGCTACTCACCTCTGCAATTGTTTTAGAAAAAAAAACATGAAGTTGAATTTAAAGGCTTAAATATATTGTATTCTGGTAACTGTAAGGTTTTAATACTTATATTGATAGGTATATGATTTTTATTTTTTCGTCTGCTTCTATTTATATTCAATTTTACCTGCTTATCCAGCTGTTCGCCAAATCTGACAGTTTTAGAGGTTTGTACAACCCAGATAACACCGCAGGGGATGCTTCAAACGGTCATATTCTATTCATGTTGGTTAAACCTTTTTTCCCAAAAAGAGAAATGCTGTTGCTGTAACTACTTAAAGCGGAGTTCCTCTCACCAGTCAAAAAATAAAAGTCAGCAGCTACAAAAACTATAGTTTCTGACTTTTAAACAGCCACTTACCTGTCCCTCGGTCCCCTGGTGTGTCCCCTGCAGGCCGTTTCACCGGCCGTCCTGGATTCCAGGAGGCTGGCATCTTCAGTGTGGGCACCCGGCTGGGACAGCTTGCGGCTTCACAGTCGGGTACCCACTGCACATGCGCGAGTAGTGCTGCACTTCGTGAATGGTCCTGTAGTCTTCTGGGACCTGTCACGTGTCCCAAAAAACTACAGGGAGGGAAGACACCTTCTGATCGCCTAGGCGATCGGACCAGAAGTGGGAAGCGGGTACCTGTCAAATTCGGGTACCTGCCCTCCAAAGGTGACAATCCTTAATGGGGAGCGGGGGAGCAGGCCTTAAAGCAGAACTTCCCCTTTTGGATGGATCTCCGCTTTAAAGCAGAACTTTATCCATAACAACTTGCAAGAAACATACATTCCACTTTAATAATTATGCTACCAAAATCAGTGTGTGTTGTAAATTGCCTCCAGCATTGTTCCTGTTTCTTTGTGTTGAAGGTTACCATTTTGCTGAAGCCCAGAGCCCCTGAGCAGCAGTAAATCTTTAGACTGTCAGCCTCTACAAATTCAGCACAGTACCTAAAAATAGAGAGTAACTGAGCATGTGCAGAGCAGGGTGAGACAGCGCATTACTGGATTTTCAATAGTATAGGCACTTATTTTTAATGTTTTATATAGATATACTTGTAAAAGGAGCCAGCCTGAAGTGATCTAGCAGGACTTAATTTCCTGACTAAAGTTCCACTTTAAAGCAGAACTTAAGGCATGCCTTTCCAATGGTCCCTTTGGTGCCAGCATCTTCTCCTGTGGGCTGTTTTGGGCCTCTTCATTGGCTGGTACAAGATGACATCACTCCTGCGCATGCACATGATTGAGTCATCCAAACACACAGGATTGGGCTGGCAGCTGTGCATGTGCAGCTTAGCTTACATTCTGGGGATCACTTCCGGGGATCAGGCAGGTAGGTGTAATTTGTTGTAGAAGAGACATTGCATGTATCTTCTGCAGTAAAAAGCCTGCCTGCTTACAGTTATGTATAGGGGAACTTTAGTTCTACTTTAAAGTGGAACTAAACCCAAAGATTTAACGGAGAAGTGTGAGATTCTAAAAAAAAAATTAAGCATACATATTTGCCTCCCGCTGCAGCATCAGTGCAATGCTGCAGTTGTCCCCCATCAGCTAGAACACTGAGAACTGAGGGTTCACATGACTGCTAATTACTTTGTTCTCTGTCTTCTCTGAGCTCAGAGTGGTGACTGTCAGTCACCGTTCTCTGCACTGCCCTTACAGTGCTCACTGGAGCACCGGGCTGTAGAGGGGGCGAAAGTTGGCTCAGACTTTCAGCGGCGCACTAAGAGGCTGAGCCAGCTGCTGATCAAGCATCTGGGTTGAGCCCGACATTATTGTCAGGATCTTTCCAGAGCCTAAAACGGATGATTCTGGGTCACAGGAGAGCACAAAGAAGTGCACTCCTGTGACCCAGAAGAGAAATATGGTCAAGAAAGCTTTGTCCATACCTTTTCCCAAAATAGCTGCATTCAGGGCATGCAGGGTATCTCTCCTCCCCCCCACCCCCCCCTCCAGTAGTACGCAGGCAGCAAAATATAACTCAGTAGGAGTTTTAGCCCTTTCATATTTTATCTGAAACTAAAAACAAGATGTTATGGCTTTACATATCAATGGAAATATTCCGTAAATGCAGTTTCATTTGAATGGTCAATCTTTAGAGCACAGGGAAACTGTATATGTGAACACCTACAATTTTTAATATCATATTTTATTTTTTTTTAATATATAACAGATAAAGCATTCTCCAATATTGAGACCTTTGGCCAATACCCCTTGCAGGTAAATGGCTTCAACAACCTAAACGAGTGTCTGGAGGCAGCAATGCTGGAGAGAGATCTTGAGCTCTCGCGGACTGGGCAAGCCGTGCAATACAGGCAAGAGGTGGGTGTTGTCTTGCTCTATTAGCCATACGCCCGATTTTTTATTTTTTTTTTTTTTTTTTTTTTTAATTCTGCCTGCTTCAAGATCATTGGTTAACACCCAGCATTGCTTGTTAGTAAGCAGTGTTAAGTTTTTATGTTCTCTGCATATTTTTTCTTTTGTTTGAGTTTTTTGTGTTTTTTTTTTTTTTTTTTATCTTCAGCGCTGGTTTACAAAACTTCCCCCGGTGCTAACCTTTGAACTTTCTCGGTTTGAATATAATCAGTCTTTGGGTCAACCGGAAAAGATCCATAATAAACTTGAATTCTCCGAGATTATTTATATGGACAGGTAAAGTATATTTAATGTTAACGTGGGTCACATGGATTGAAGTAGAAATCCTATGACTGTCACAGATATTATCTTGTAAAATAGTGTATTGCTATGTACTACAACTGCAAAAAAAAAAAAATGTCGGTGTCCTCTGTTTTTCGCATGTGTGTGATTACATTTCATCTTCTGTATAACCATATACTTAGAGAGATTTGTGTAATTCTACCTCATTTAGTGAAAAATATTGTCACTTAAAGTAGAAATGTAGAGCAAGATGGGGACAGGGAGGGTTAAAACCCCCCGTCAGATTTTTTTTTTTTTTTTTTTTTTTCCGCCATATATGTCCCATTTTGGAGATTTCCCTTCACATCCTGTGTAACATAGCCAAACAGGAAGTAAGAAGACATCCCTGAAAATTAACAGAAAACCTTGGGGACCCCAAGGTCACCAGAAACCATGTCCATATTAGAAGATGTCCCCTCTATTACTTTTCTGGGGACAACCCAAAATTTGGGGTTTCCTTTTACAAGAGGGGTACAGACAGCAATAAATGTCTAATAGGTGTTTTAATATATCTCCACTCCAAAACGTAAAACAAAAATTAAAAACGTTTTGCCTTTGGGTATCACTTTAAATCTGATTTGAATTTTTTTTGGGGAGTATTTGCATACCCATAGCAGCACCATGTGATTTTTTTTTTTTTTAAGGTTCAGAATATAAAAAAATGGAATCTTGAGTTTTTTTTCTTTAAAAGCTTTCAGTTGGTTGGATTGTGTTACATGTATTCAATCCTGCCTATCCAGGATCTACATTGTCATTAGCAATGTGGCCCATACAAGTGATACAGTTTGAAAAATGACAATGTGAATTAGACTATACACTGAGCTACAGAGGACCAGGAGGATTTGCATCACTTTGGTGTATTTATTTTAGCTCTTAGCGCCCCTATATAATATTGTAACCCAGATGAAGAAGTTTCCTAAGAACCAATGAAACATCTTGGGGTTTTAACAAATCCTAACAACAATAAATTGTATCTGGACATTTAATACTTGTCTGATGCTGTTTTTCCTATATTTCTAATAAGCAATACAATTACCAGGGTTTCCTAGCTCTTCTACTCTATCCAAAATGTGGGGCTAATTTTTGTAATTACCTGTTACCATAACATTGCTAATATGGTTGGGTTGCCAGAACGTTTGGTAGCACTTTACTAATGTTCTAAGATGAATAAATGTAATAGACTGCTATTGCTTGCTTTTCATTATGCAAATGCTAGTTGCCTGGCTGTCATGCAAGCTTTCCAGCCCCAGCAGATGTCAGTGGCCCAGAACAAGTAACAGTCGTGTCTATCAAATACCACTCACCCATCTCTTCATCTATTATGGCTGTCAGGAGTGTAAAGGACAACTCGGAGGTGGGGTAATAGGCTGGAGCAGACACAGAGATAAAACTTGACACCTCCAAAATATATTAAAGCCTTGTGCCCATCCCATGTTTTTAGAATCTAGGTCCAGCAAGCTTTCTCCCTTCCAGTTCTGGTATTAAAGAATAGTCCCTGCTCCTCTTTTTCTGATCACGTCACTGCTACTCTTGCCAGCATCATCACATCAACCACTGCTGGTCTTGTATTGTACGTGATGATGTCAGTAGCCTGCCCTCATTCCAAGGAAATGGCAAGAATAGCACTGGCTGCTGTGAAACCGAGAAAAAAAGGTAAATAGTTCTCTTTATGACATTCCCCAAGATCAGGAGGCTCCAAACTTTCTAAACAAAGGGCCTGTTTACCGTCCTTCAGACTTTAGGGGGGCCGGATTGTAGCCAGTGGGGTTAGACAATTCCTTGTCATCAGTGGGAGTATAAAATGTCCCAGGCTTGGTGGTCAGTGGGAGTAAAAAAATTACAACTCGCCTGTGGTCAGTAGGAGGAGGAATGGTGCCACATCACTGATGTCAGTGGGAAAAATGCTGTCATATTGGTGTCAGAGGAAGGAAAGGAACAGTGCCCCTTTGTTGGTGTTAGTGAAAGAAATAGTTCCCCATTGTTGGTGTCATTGGAAGAAATAGTGCCCCATTATTGGTGTCAGTCAAAGGAATAGTGCCCCATTGTTGGTGTCAGTGGAAGGAATGGTGCTCCATTGTTTTTGTCAGTGGAAGGAGTAGTGACCCATTGTCAGTGAAAGAAATAATGCCCCATTGTTTTTGTCAGTGGAAGGAGTAGTTTCTTATTGTTGGTGTCAGTGGAAGAAATAGGGCACCATTATTGGTGTCAGTGGAAGGAATAGGGCACCATTATTGGTGTCAGTGGAAGGACTAGTGCCCCATTACTGGTGTCAGTGGAAAGAATAGTGCCCCATTACTAGTGTCAGTGGAAAGAATAGTGCCCCATTATTGGTGTCGGGAAGGAATAGTGCCCCATTATTGGTGTCAGTGGAAGGAATAGTGCCCCATTATTGGTGTCAGTGGAAGGAATAGTGCCCCATTATTGGTGTCAGTGGAAGGAGTAGTTTCCCATTGTTGGTGTCAGTGGAAGGAATTATGTCCCACTGTTGGTGTCAGTGGAAGGAATAGGGTCCCATTATTGGTGTCAGTGGAATGAATAGGGTCCCATTATTTGTGTCAGTAGAAGGAATAGTGCCCCATTATTGGTGTCAGTAGAAGGAATAGTGCCCCATTATTGGTGTCAGTGGGAGGAATAGTGCCCCATTATTGGTGTCAGTGGAAGGAATAGTGCCCCTTTGTTGGTGTTATTGGAAGGAATAGTGCCCATTGTTGGTTTCAGTAGGAGGAGGAATGGTGCCACATCACTGATGTCAGTGGGAAAAATGCTGCCATTATGTTGCTGCCAGTGGAAGGAAAGGAACAGTACCCCTTTGTTGGTGTCAGTGAAAGAAATAGTGCCCCATTGTTGGTGTCAGTGAAAGAAATAGCGCCCCATTGTTGCTGTCAGTGGAAGGAACAGTGCCCATTGTTGCTGTCAGTGGAAGGAATAGTGCCCCAGTGTTGGTGTCTGTAGAAGGAATAGTGTCCCATTGTTGGTGTCAGTGGAAGGCATAGTGCCCCATCATTGGTGTCAATGGAAGAAATAGTGCCCCATATCAGCCTGAAGAATCCAGTGAAGGCAAAGGACCACATTCGAGCCGCAGGCTGCAGTAGAGACCCCTGCCCTAGACTAAAGCAGGAGATCCTACAAAAAAGTACCACAAGCCCTGAAAGGATAAATACGGTGTCTGCCTCTCCACCTATTGTAGCGCATTTACTTATTTCTTGTTATATTGCTGCAGGTGAAATGTAATATTCCTTCAATGTGTCATTTTTCTGTTACTATATAGGGTAAGATAGTTCTCCTTTCCATTGAGTTCACACTGAGTGTCTGGGGACGTCGGGTAATTGAGCCTTTATTTACAGGTACTTGTACAGAAACAAAGAGCTCATTAGGAAGAAGCGAAGGGATGTCAAGAAACTGAACAGGCACATCGACTACCTCCATCAGAAACTGGAAAGGTAAAGCAAGGTTAATAAGTATTTCCTGCACTAAAACACTGTTAAAGAGCCTACTGAAAGGTTTTGCCTGTGGAGGTCTCCGGGTAATGCAGAAGGGTTTAATAGATCATTGCTGCACCTTCTCTGTGCTCTGCAGTGAAAAAAAAAAATACAGCCCAGTACCTTTTGTGTAGTAGAAGGCTGGGATGCCGCTGCTCAGGGCTTGTGAAAGGACCTAATATTTCTAGGGCTCCTTATCTCTCCATAGAGCAGGGCGTCTACACTGAGCCAAAGATGGGGCAGATGAGGTATCCGCTACATAGGTAGTACAGTCTATTTCATTCTCTGCACTACAGTTCCAGAGGGTGTGATGGAGACTTCTAACCTAAAAAGTGCACTTTTAAACGGTGATTCTAAATCTATATTTAAAAAAAAAAAACGTGACATGCTTTTAAAAATGGGCCAATTACCTTTTGTATAATATAAACTAAAGGCAAAACTTTTTTTTTTTTTTTTTTTATTTTAGGCAGAGTGGAGATACATTAGAACCCATCTATCTCCACTCTGCCTAAAATTGTAAAAAAAAAAGTTTTGCCTAAAATGCAACATGCTTTTAAAAATGGGCCAATTTATTTAATATTACTAAAGGCAAAACTTTTTTTTTTTTATTTTAGGCAGAATGGATACCTCTCCTCCCCCATCTATATTTACAAAAATGCAACATGATGTTAAAAATGGGCCAATTACCTTTTTTATAATATAACTAAAGGCAAAACTTTTTTTTTTTAATTTTAGGCAGAGTGGAGATAGATTAGAACCCATCTATCTCCAATCTCCACTCTGCCTAAAATTAAAAAAAAAAAAAAAAAGGTTTTGCCTTTAGTTATATTATAAAAAAGGTAATTGGCCCATTTTTAAAAGCATGTCGCACTTTTTAAAATATAGATGGGGGAGGAGAGGTATCCACTCTGCCTAAAATGAAAAAAAAAAGTTTTGCCTTCCACAAAGTAATAGCACACCAATCGGGAACAATCCGCACGTTTCGGTATATTACTGTCTATGTAGTGTAAAAACTGTGGGAGGAGTTAGGGTGGTAAATTTGGCTATAATAATAAGAATATATATGTGAGATAACAGGAAGTGGTCTTGTCATGTAAGAACACTTAATAATGTTACAATAAATCAGATTTAAAAAATCAGATGTATAAGGTGCTCTGTGTGTAGAAAAATTAAATGCTCATAATAAAAAAAACATGTGTCTTCACTCCTCAGTGCCTTTTCCTCCATTCACTGCAATCACCAGATGTTTTTTACATTTGCAGCAGAATAGTTGCACATTGTCTCCAGTGTAACATTACATGTCATTTGGGTTCTCCCTTTTAGCAACTTAAAGTGTTACTAAACCCACAACAGTAAAATTAGTCTGTATATGCAGTAAAGCATGCTTGGTATACTCACTGTGGAACCTAAGGGGTTAACCCTCAGCATTGTGTAAAAAGGCTGTTTGATCCCTTGTTCTCTGATTCTCCCCTTCTTCTAATGTCCCCAATCCATCTGCTGATAGTACAGAGCCCTAGGAGGCACTATGCACATGCTCAATTTGGTGTGTTTTTGCTAGAGAGTGTGTGTTTTTTTTTTTTGTTTTTTTTTCTTGGGAGAGTGCATGTGATCAGCACTGTCCAGACAGAGGATGAGGGGTAATGCAGCCTCATAGGACAGTCAAAGGAGAATGAAAACTCCTACAAGCTTTTACCAGTGCTCAGCCAGACACTGATGGAAGTCACGGACTGCTCTAACTGCTGATGAGAATAGGTATTTAGCAGTTTATATTTACTAAAATAATTGCATTTCCATGTTCTGTGGGGGACCAGATACAGTGAATGCAGGGTCTGGGGAGACCAGATACAGTGAATGCAGGGTCCGGGGAGACCAGATATAGTGAATGCAGGGTCCGGGGAGACCAGATATAGTGGAATGCAGGGTCCTGGGAAACCAGATATAGTGAATGCAGGGTCCTGGGAAACCAGATATAGTGAATGCAGGGTCCTGGGAAACCAGATATAGTGAATGCAGGGTCCGGGGAGACCAGATTATAGTGAATGCAGGGTCCGGGGAAGACCAGATATAGTGAATGCAGGGTCCTGGGAAACCAGATATAGTGAATGCAGGGTCCTGGGAGACCAGATATAGTGAATGCAGGGTCCTGGGAGACCAGATATAGTGAAATGCAGGGTCCTGGGAGACCAGATATAGTGAATGCAGGATTCCGGGGAGACCAGATATAGTGAATGCAGGGTCGGGGGAGACCAGATATAGTGAATGCAGGGTCCTGGGGAGACAAGATATAGTGAATCGGGGGTCCGGGGGAGACCAGATATAGTGAATGCAGGGTCCGGGGGAGACAAGATATAGTGAATGCATGGTCCGGGGGAGACCGGATGTAGTGAATGCATGGTCCGGGGGAGACCGGATGTAGTGAATGCAGGGTCCGGGGGAGACCGGATGTAGTGAATGCAGGGTGACCGGATGTAGGAATGCAGGGTCCGGGGGAGACCGGATGTAGTGAATGCAGGGTCCGGGGGAGACCGGATGTAGTGAATGCAGGGTCCGGGGGAGACCGGATGTAGTGAATCAGGGTCCGGGGGAGACCGGATGTAGTGAATGCAGGGTCCCGGGGGGAGACCGGATGTAGTGAATGCAGGGCCCGGGGGGAGACCGGATGTAGTGAATGCAGGGTCCGGGGGAGACCGGATGTAGTGAATGCAGGGTCCAGGGGAGACCGGATGTAGTGAATGCAGGGTCCTGGGTTTAGTTTAGTAACACTTTAACTTCTATAAATCACTCTTATTCTGTTACATAGCTGGATCTAACACGTGTCTTTACTGGACAGATACCTGAAGTATGGTTCTGGCCCCAACCGTTGTCCTCTGCCTGATATGCTTCGATATGTGCTGGAGTTTGCTCACACTAAATCTGCTACAAGAAGCCATGCTGTGGGTTTGACACAGAACGCCGAGACTCCAGCAGATGACTCCACTTCTCCCGACTCTCAACCACAAGAAAATGGGTAATTTCATTTATTGTAAGATGCAAACCTATAAAATAGATGTTCTAGCTAACCTTGTAAATGAGTGCTGCACAGCCAAAAGCCATTTACTTGATGCTATTTGCAGCGGATTACAAAACCTTATCTTCATTTGTTTTCTAGTTTGTTTTATGTTTTTATTTTACTGTGCTTTTTAATAGGCCAAGATTAAAGTTGGAGTGTTAAAAATGCAGTTTTTTTTTTTTACTAAGCCGTTAAGCATGCTGCACAGTTGTATGGCAGAACAATGTCATACAAGGTAACTTCTGTGTTGTTTTTTTTTTTTTTTTGTTTTTTTTTTATGCAAGTCTTGTAAGGATAAAAACAGATCCTTTTCTTCTTGGAAAACATTTTTTTTTCCAGGTCTTTTAATTTGAGGCTATCGAAAGAGATGAGCTGTACTAACTCAGCAAGCTGCAATTCTGTTTCCAGTCTCCAGTTGTACCACACAGATAGCGAAAGGAAAATTTCAGATGCTTACCAGTGTTTATCACTCAGAAGTTCACTTTTCATTTTTGCGACCAGATTAGAGAAAACCTATTTCTTTAGCTTCTGGAAGAGCAGTTAAAATCTTAAGGTGGTAGAGACCCCAACTTTAATCTTAAAAATACATACTCCCCCCCCTCCTCCTACCTATCCTGTCCAATCTGAATAAAAAAGATTTGTGTACTTGCCTATTTTCAGTCGTTCTGGTCCAGTCACTTGATCCTACAACGGCTGTAAATTCCTGGATCCTGGACATCATCCATGGCCCAGCCATTGTCGGTATTCCCTCTTCTCCCCTGCAGCAGGTGCTTGCTGGAGCTGCTGGATCATGTGACTGGAGCAGATTAAAAGAGTAGGTAAGTACACTCTTATTTTATTGCAGGTCAGGTAGGAGGAGGAAGGAGAGAACATGTTTAAGAATAGTTATAGTTAGGCTTTTCTTCCACTTCTCCTGACCCAAAAAAAAAATTTTTAATTTACAGCCGAACTTCAGAGAAATGATAACACTGCCCGTTCAGTAGGGGGCTGCTCATGCACTGCAGAGGTTAAAGTGATTAGTATGGGGGTGGGTGTGTGTATGTATGTATGTGTATATATATGTATGTGCATATATATGTGTGTGTGTATGTATGTATGTATGTATATATATATATATATATATATATATATATATATATATATATATATATATATATATATATGTATATATATATATATATACATATACATACATACATACATACATACATACATACATACATACATACATACATACATACATACACACACACACAAAGAGCGTTTGAGTCGGACCGGGACTTTTAATTTGACAGGTATTAAAGAGGATGCTAGCGTGGTGGTACTACACTGTATTAAGTAGCAAGTGTGTCCTAATTACTAAAGGGTGGTGCAAATGTCACTGGCCAGTCTAGAGACTGTTGATGAACATGGCAGACAACAGTGTTAGTGCGTGCATGGATCAGCATGTGGTGATAAAGTTTCTTGTGAATGAAGGTGTAAAACCTGCAGATATCTACAGAAGACGTCAAGGAAAGTACAGTGATGAGACGCTCAGCCTCAGTAAGACATTTGAATGGTTTAAAAGTTTCAAAGATGGTCGTACATCAGTCAGTGACGAAACCGGCTGTGGTGGTTCCCAGCCCACAGCAGTCATTCCTGTGAACATTCAGCGCCTGGAGTTCCTGATTCTGGATAGTCGACACATAGCCTGTCACAAAATTGCACAAGAGACAAATCTTTCTGTGGGAACACAATGATGACGAAGTGAAGCAGGCTGTCCTAGAATGGTTCAGGTGTATTGACAAATCTTTCTATGCCGGAGATTTCTGAGCATTAGTTAAACTCTGGGATAATTGTAAAAATGTAGAAGTTTCCACTCGAAGTTTTGTTGTTTTTAATATATAAACTCAAAAGTCTCGGTCTGACTTGAACAACCCTCGTGTGTGTGTGTGTGTGTGTGTGTGTGTATATAATTTTTTGTCCCCTTACATAATACATATGTTCTTGTAAGAATTGCACAGTGTCCCCCAAAACCTCCACTTTTGGGAGCGCTGTAGGCTCCTCCTCCTTCTCCCAGTGCCCCCATACCAAGCCGCTTGTTATGGGAGCATTCATGCAGGCTGCATTCCGAGTCGGGGGTCTATTGAAACACACAGCATGACTCAACCCACCCATGGTCTCAGGATTTAACTGACAGCAGCAGGGCAAGCAGATCTTGCTGCCTCAGCACAGCGCGCGAGGGGGTGATATGCTATAGACGGGCACAGCATTTGATCAAGTGAGGACTAAGTATAAGGGTGGGGTGAGGAGGTTATACTTCCATTTAGACATTTTTTACATTAATGCAAGGAATGCATTAGGTAAAAAATTGTCATGCCCTTTTAAATACATGTTTTTTTTTTGTTTTTTTTTTCCCTGGATAACCTAAAAAAAAAAAAAGAGAACACTTTTTTTGGAGCGCCGAGCAGTGGTAGCCTCCATACTTTTGTGTTCTGTTTTTTTTATTTTTTATGAAGCAGAAAACCATTTGTAAATCTTAATTCCTTAATCCAGCAAATAATAAAATATAAATAACCAATTATTCAGCAGAGCACATATAGGGTGCCTCTTTAGGAGATGTCAGATGTCATTGTTTTTGAATATGTATATTGGAATATATATCTGGATCATTTTCCCCTTTTAGTCCTTTAACAAATGGGCACAGTGAGCACCTGGCCATTAATGAATCGCACCTTCCTGTCCTGGAGCGTGAATCCTCTTCTATACAATGTTTCGATGAACTTTTCATGGAATCTATTGAAGTCCCAGCTCCCCATTCAGCCTCAAAGGAAGAACTACGCTCTGTGGAATTGTGCTTGCAGAGGTGGAGAGCTGAAGTGGAACAAGACATTGAAGGTCAGGTGGGACATGGTTTGTTAGCTTGAGTATATATATATGCTTAGCTTAAAGGGGGGGGGAGGAAGAGAATAATCAAATATTGCATATTTAGACGCATACGGTCCAAAAGAATAGGGTGGCGGTAACTCTTTGTCTGGGGTGGATTTAGCTGGTAATGCATGATACTTAGCTTAAATATACGGTAGCAACATTAAAACTGATCTCCCTTTTACAGACAATATAAGTCATGTTGTTGGATTTGCTTTTTCACTTATTAAATTATTACATGGTTACATAGTTAGTCTGGCTGAAAAAAGACAAGTCCATCCAGTTCAACCATAGAAAAAAAAGTTATAATCCTTTACCCACAGTTGATCCAGAGGAAGGCAAAAAACAACCCAGCAAAGCATGATCCAGTTTGCTCCTGCTGGAAAAAAAAATTCCTTCCTGCTCCCCCTCTCTCGAGAGAGAGGCAATTGGATATTCCCTGGATCAACTTTACCTATAAATGTTAATATCCAGTTATATTCTGTGTATCTAGGAAATAATCCAGGACTTTTTTAAAGCAATCCACTGATCTGGCCAGAACCAACTCTTGAGGGAGTCTATTCCACATTTTCACAGCTCTTACTGTGAAGAAACCTTTCCGTGTTTGGAGATTAAATTTCATTTCCTCCAGATGTAAAGAGTGCCCCCGTGTCCTCTGTGATGACCTCAGGGTGAATAACTACACCGAGTTCACTATATGAACCACTGATGTATTTATACATGGAGATCATATCCCCCCTTATGTATTATACATGGAGATCATATCCCCCCTTATGTATTATACATGGAGATCATATCCCCCCTTATGTATTATACATGGAGATCATATCCCCCCTTATGTATTATACATGGAGATCATATCCCCCCTTATGTATTATACATGGAGATCATATCCCCCCTTATGTATTTATACATGGAGATCATATCCCCCTTATGTATTATACATGGAGATCATAATCCCCCCTTATGTATTATACATGGAGATCATATCCCCCCCTTATGTATTATACATGGAGATCATTATCCCCCCTTATGTATTATACATGGAGATCATATCCCCCTTATGTATTATACATGGAGATCATATCCCCCCCTTATGTATTATACATGGAGATCATATCCCCCCTTATGTATTATACATGGAGATCATATCCCCCTTATGTATTATACATGGAGATCATATCCCCCCCTTATGTATTATACATGGAGATCATATCCCCCCTTATGTATTATACATGGAGATCATATTCCCCCTTATGTATTATACATGGAGATCATATCCCCCCTTATGTATTATACATGGAGATCATATCCCCCCTTATGTATTATACATGGTGATCATATCCCCCCTTAGTATTATACATGGAGATAATATCCCCCCTTATGTATTATACATGGAGATCATATCCCCCCTTATGTATTATACATGGAGATCATATCCCCCCTTATGTATTATACATGGAGATCATATCCCCCCTTATGTATTATACATGGAGATCATATCCCCCCTTATGTATTATACATGGAGATCATATCCCCCCCTTATGTATTATACATGGAGATCATATCCCCCCCTTATGTATTATACATGGAGATCATATCCCCCCCTTATGTATTATACATGGAGACATCATATCCCCCCCTTATGTATTATACATGGAGATCATATCCCCCCCTTATGTATTATTATACATGGAGATCATATCCCCCCTTATGTATTATACATGGAGATCATATCCCCCCCTTATGTATTATACATGGAGATCATATCCCCCCTTATGTATTATACATGGTGATCATATCCCCCCTTATGTATTATACATGGAGATCATATCCCCCTTATGTATTATACATGGAGATCATATCCCCCCCTTATGTATTATACATGGAGATCAATCCCCCCTTATGTATTATACATGGTGATCATATCCCCCCTTATGTATTATACATGGTGATCATATCCCCTCTTAATCTCCTCTTCTCAAGAGAGAATAAATTCAGTTCCTCTAATCTTTCCTCATAGCTGATCTCCTCCATGCCTCTTATCAGTTTGGTTGCCCTCCTCTATACTTTCTCCAGTTCCCCAATGTTCTTTTTGTGAATTGGTGCCCAAAACTGAACTGCATGTTCCAGATGAGGTCTTACTAATGTTTTGTACCGGGGAGGAATGATATCTCTCTCTCTGGAGTCTATACCTCTTTTTAATACAAGAGAAGATTTTGCTTGCTTTAGAACCCGCAGCTTGGCATTGCATGCCATTATTAAGCTTGTGATCTACCCGAACCCCCAGATCCTTCTCCACCATTGATTCCCCCAGTTGTACCCCCCTAGTATGTATGATACATGCATATTCTTAGCCCCCCAAATACAAAGATGTTATATTTTGCAGCTTACCTATCCTTTAGTTTGGCGACACACTTGCAGTCTAGGGTGCCTCCACACTTGTCATAAGATCAGTGGAGGCACCTTTGGACAGCAGCATTGTCAAATTGTGGAAAAGGTGGTGTTAGGTGCATTAGCAGATAAAACTGGACTTGAATAACAAATTGAAGCTGATTTTCAGCTAACATGTTTTATTCAGTCACAGCAATAGTTGGGTTAAAGGTTGACCATTGTAAGCACCCCTGTCAATGTTTAAACAGTTTGTCTAAACTAGTCATGCATCTAATAAACTGAGAATTGTCTCCCAGAAAACAATTGTGCTATTTGGTCAATACAAACATTTTCATAGTGAAAGAACACAATACTCCCTGGTAAAAATCCCAGTGACATTTGGTCAAATCCAATCTTTTACGTTTGTTCAGCCAAACTGTTTTTTAAGCAAATAATCTCTTTGAAGCCACCAAATCTGTGGTGATCAACTGTTTATTATTACATGTACGGCCTAGGTAGATTACCTGTATGCCGCCCACCCACATCTACTGCAGGTGGGCGGCACAGCCAGGCTAGGCGATGTACGAATACGTCACAACCTTTCTTCTGGGTTTTGGGCACAGGCACCCATACTCCCCTACTGACCCGTGCTGTGGTAGGACACAGCACGAGTTTGTCAGCAGGTTTCAGCCAATGATTTTGTGTCCAATCACAACACAGAATTCTGTGTTTACAAACACACAGAATTCTGTGTACACAGAATGGCCATCTAGCTGTTTCTTCTCTCTGAAAAGGAGAGAGACAAATCAGCTATATCTGTGAATAAAATTGGCACACATTACACTTGTTATGTACACAGTTAACCCCTTTGTTAATCCCTTCCCAGCCAGTGTCATTACAGTGTACAGTATTATATCTGATCACTGTATTAGTGTGACCAACGATGTCAGTCAGTGTCCCTACCAACCAGTATCTGCTAGCGCCAGATTGTCCGCCACACGATCACAGTCACACTATATAAGTCACTGATCACTGCCATTACAAGTAAAGCATTTATAGCTGTGTTGGGATTTTTTGTCTTACCAAAGACATGTAGAAGAATACATTTTGCCCTAAATTTATTAGGACATTTGATTTTTATTGAATTTTTTATAACAAAGTAGAAAATGATAGTTTTTTGTTTTTTTCTTTTGGTAATTTTTACATTTATATAAAATAAAGTGGTGATCAAATACAACCAATAGAAAGAGATCTATTTGTGTGAAAAAGTGGTATAAGTTTCATTTGGGTATAGTGTTGTATGACTGAGCATCTGTCAGTTAAAGTAGCACAGTGCTGATCATGAATAGGTTAAAACCTTCCCGGGTCCAGGTAGTTAAACTGTCTCATATAAAGGTTTTTTTAAATGACTGTGTCATTCATCCAGTCATTAAAATGAGCCACACTTGCTTGGATTTGTTCTAGTTAAACGTAGAAGTGTGGAAAAAGTGAAAAACAAAAACGTGCTTCTCTGTTATGTTCTCCTAAATGTGTCTCAATATAATAGCTTAGTTGAATAAAGGAAGCTAAGAACATGGGCAGTGCAGCGACTTAGTGATTAGTCCTTTCTGCCCTGCAGCAGTGGGGTCCTTTGTTAAAATCCCAACGAGTGCACTATCTGCATGGAGTTTGCATGCTCTCCCTGTGCTTGCAAACCCTGGGCTTCCTGTGGGTACTCTGGTTTCCTCCCACACTCCAAAGACATGCTGGTAGGTTAGTTGGCTCTTGTTTAAAAATTGTCTCTAGTATATATGTGTGTGAGAGGGACCTTGGATTGCAAGTTCCCTGAATATGTACAGTGCTGTGTAAATTGTTGGTGCTGATTACTATTATTATACAGTATTTATATAGTGCCAATAGTTTGCTCAGCGCTGTACATTACAATGGGAGACAGTACACGAGACAGTACAGTAACAATACAATACACGAGGGGTTAGAGGGCCCTGCTCTTTGGAGCTTACAATCTAGGAGAGAGAGGATAGTAGTACAGGAGGAAATAGCTGTGGGGGATGGAGTGGTAGGAGGCGTGGAGGAGATCGGCAATTAGTTGAGGGCAGGGTAGGCTTCCCTGAAGAGATGGGTTTTCAGGGAGCGCCGAGAGGAGAGTAGGTGAAAGTCTGATGGATTGTGGTAGGGAGTTCCAGAGGATAGGGGAAGCCCTGGAGAAGTCCTGGAGATGGGCATGGGAGGAGGATACCAGGGAACTAGAGAGTAGGAGGTCTTGTGAGGAGCGGAGAGTACGTTTTGGGTGGTAGATGGATATCAGGTCGGTGATGTAGTTTGGGGCAGTGTTATGAACAGCTTTGTACGTCAATGTTAGTAATTTGAATTTTATCCAATGAACATTGGGAAGCCAGTGGAGGGATTGGCAGAGAGGGGTGGCGGATACGGAGCGGTTAGTAAGGTGGATGAGTCTGGCCGCAGTATTCAGGATAGACTGAAGCGGGGATAGCCTGCGGTGAGGTAAGCCGATGAGGAGGGAGTTACAATAGTCAAGTCGTGATATGATAAGGGAGTGAATGAGTTGCTTAGTAGTTTCCGTGGTTAGGAATGGACGTATTTTGGAGATGTTGCGTAGGTCCATCGAAGAACGAACATTTACAAACTTAACTTAACTTAAACAAAGGTCCATCGAAGAACGAACATTTAATTGTCTGCTGCTTATTTCCTCAGACTTAAAGGTTTCTATTGCCAACTTAACAGCAGTGATTGATGACATCTACAACGAGCCTGAACTAATGCAGGTAAAAATTGTACTTGTCCATGTGTTTTCTTATTGTACACTCGTTACATTTAATATTCTGTGAAACCCAGCTCACTTTTGTAGCATCTCAGGCTGAAGATGCCCAAAATGTGATGTGTTTTTTCTTTGGGACATATTCAGTCCTGTGTTTGTATCCACTGTGATCTGGGGGTTGTTCAGCTCTACTGGTAGATGAGTTTTCCAAATGAGTACATGTCAGTCTGTACTTTGTTTAATGGCCTGGCAGCCCATTTTTATTAAAAGACAAAATAAAGTGAAAGTCCAACATATTGAATTAAATGAATGTAACTGGAAAAAATGAATCCTCTCCTACAGAACTGCTCTCCTTCCTTTTCCCAGCCCAAGGAAACAAACACATATTTGATACATGTACAAAGCACTTGCTCAAGGCTTGTAAAGTGCCTGCAAAAACACTTTAAAATCACTCTGTTCAGGTGTGAATGCAGGCTAAGGAAATAATACTACTTGTATACTTGCAATACACGAAGTGTCCTTTTACAGGGGCGTTGCGCTTTTTTTCATCAGTTTAGTGACGTTTTTTTCCAAGAAAAAACGGATTCAGTTTTTACACATCCACTACCAATGCAAAAACAGACCGTTTGTCTGTTTCCATCTGTTTTTCATTCATTCCATTATTTGTAAATGGGCTTTGATCCATTTAAAAAAAATGGATGCGGATGTAAACGGATGATCATCCATTTACTTCCGTTTTTCCATAGAGATACATTGATGTCCATTTTTCATCCATCAATGGATGGATGAAAAAACGGACAAATGGAATGCCCCTGTGAAAGGGGCCTTATTGATTATTTTTTTTTCTTTTTATATTTTTAAAGGGAAACCATACATGCATTATTTTATAGTTTTTTTGTTTGTTTTTTTCGTGTTTAACATTGCCTGAAGATTAGCTTTAAGACAAATATGTATCTTATCTACTTCCAGATCTGGTGGGGTTTTGCCATATCTGAAATATTGGCTGCTATACTGAATAGTCTACTTTATGCACAAAGCAGATTTTGATTTAAAGGGATTTAATTGTTGCCATTCATGCATTATTGTCCTATTCACTACCTTCCACATTAGTCAGAACATCTTTTTTGTCATCTATTTGGCATTGCCATTATCTGTAGATATCCACCATTTATATATTCATTGTAGCATTCATAATCATCATCATTTGTCACCAATGATGCTGCTGATTTAATGTGGTCTCCGGCAAAAGGTCAGCGTTTATTTTCTTTTGTCTGTCTATCCACAAACTTTGGCTTCTGGTAAGCCGGCCATAGATGGTTTGAATTTCGGCCAGTTCAGCAGGAACAGGGCTTGCTGATGATACCCTATTCAATCGTCATACGACTTGGGTACAACCAGCATGTTAGATTTTATATACGATTATTGCTAGCGGCTGTTACAGCTGCTTGCAGTAATCACGGTGTTCTCCTTGTGGTTGCAGGAAAGAAAATCGCATCATGTATGGCAAGCATTAAACCGGCCATAGACCATTCAAATCTCGGGCGATTCAGCGGGGACCGGCCAAGATTTAAACCATGTATGGGAAGGCTGAATGCATCCACGGTGATCGATCAACTTTGGTACAGCCTGACTGTTGGATTTGACATACGATCATTGCTAGCGGCTATTATAGCTGTTAGCAATAATCCCTGTGTTTGCCGGGAGAGACGGCTCTCCTCTGCAGGGGGAACACAATGGCTCCGCTGGAGGGTTTCCCTCATCAACACTGACTGTGTTGATGGAGGAATCGAGTGATTTTTTTTTTCCTGCAACCCGTGGTTTCATGGTCTGTGGCCGGCTTTAGGGATTCTCAGAATTTCCTGGAAAAGGCTGTTCAGTTTTGTCTAACCTGCCTAGTGATTCTGTACTGGGGGCAATGTCACTTTCTACCTGTGTACTAATAATAGGATAAGTGGCCCTTAAGTCGCGGTGTTAGTGTAGATCACTAGGCAGCACACAGTTGTCGCTATTCTGTGTGATATAGTTTTCCATGTTCTTCATGTTCTAGAAATAGCAAGCTGTGAGTGTGCAATCTGACATCAGCTTTAAAATCTGGTGTCCAGGAGCTTAAATATCCTGTGTCATGCTCCAGCTGGTTGAACAAGGCGCTTGAGAGGTGGGGCAGCTTCAGGGTAATGTGTGAATGAAGTCCAGCTTTGTGTCAACAGCTGAGAATTTTCCCTGCGTAACCCTGGAGTTTGTGTTGATGTACATGGCTAAATCTGAGTCAGTGGAGTCACTCTGGTAATGTTTGTGTGCTTTGTAGGCACTGGAGTAAGACCTCTCATTTTAAATTAGTTCACATAGGTTTTTTTTTTCGTAGATAAAGTTCTATTTTTCTACTGTTGCTGACTCTTTTAGTAACATGATGGACCCACTTCCATATCTGTTTTTCTTTACTGATAAAAGATGCTGCAAAGTCACAAATCATCTACTGTGTCTCCTGGTTGCAAAAACGTTGCATAAAAACTGTAGGTGGTTAATATTTGCATTGATACTATTAACCACTTCCCGACCGGCCGGACGGTGGCAGTGCAGGGTCGGGTGGCCGTTTATAAACGGCCTCCCCGCACCCTGCTTGTGCGCGCTCCCTGGGAGCGCGCAGCACTGCGATCCGGTGCCCGCTGTGTCCTCCGGACACAGTGAAAACACCGATCGTCGGACGGGACCTCTGTACGAGGTCCCGATCATGTGATCACTGATTGGCCGATCAGTGATCACATGCAAAGTAGTAAGCAAGATGTCACTTGTGACGTCATTGCTTACTACATGGGAAATCTGTGAATGATCACAGAGGTCACATGGTACAAGGCTATTCACAACAGCCTTGTACCATGTGACAAGCTGTGACCAATCACAGCTCACTCAGTACTTCTCAATGAGTGCAAGAATGCAGCCAGAGAGAAAGAGAAATGATTGCTTTTACATCCTATATGGGTGTAAAAGCAATGTGTAAAAAAAAAAAAATCTTCATCGCCACCCACAAGTAGTACAGTGTCACCATGGTGACACTGTACTGCTCGGGTGACAGTATGTAAAAAAATAAAATAAAAAAATATAAAAATGTTTTTAAAAATTTATAATTTTTGGTTATAAACTAATTTGGATTTTTGTTTTTACTAAAAAGATAACGGAATAAATTTTGGCAAAGATTTATAATGAAATATTATTTATTTGCAAAATTTTATTTAAAAAAAAACACTTTTTTTCAAAAATTTTTGGACTTTTTCATTTACATAGCAAAAAAAATAAAAATCCCAGCGGTGAATAAATACCACCAAAATAAAGCTTTATCTGTCTCAAAAAAATGGTAAAAAATTCATTTGGGTAGAGTGTTGCATGACCGCGCAATTGTCATTCAAAGCCTGATAGCTCTGAAAGCTGAAAATTGCCCTGGTCAGGAAGGGGGTAAAAGTGTCCGGACAGGAAGTGGTTAAGGATATGAACTTTCAGGTAAGGATATTTTATGCATAGTTACATTGGACCAATGCAATTACATATATGCCATACCCGGCAGAAGCCCATGGAAACTAGAAATCACTGAAGTAGACGCATACTTAAAGCTGTAGTGAACACCGCTTGTAGACTTGTACCTACAGGTAAGCTGATATTAAGGCTTACCTGTAGGTACAAGGAATATCTCCTAGATGTGCATTGTTGATGATATTTGCACTAAGTCTGCAGCAGGTGAAGTCACCAGTGCATGCACTCTGAAGGGACAGCATACCCGTGTCATCCCTTCAGATCTCTGTGCAATGATCGTGACTCCCATGCGCGCGAGTATCATCATTGCGGCTTGAGCCCATGTAACTGGAAGGAAGACTGGGTGAAGATAGAAGCCCTGTCATCAGTGACAGCGCTCCGCTGGAGGGCTTTGTTCTAAGGTAAGTACTTCATAATGTGCTAGTATGCGATGCATACTAGCACATTGTGATATTACCTTGCAACAGAAAACAAGTGACAATTTAAAGTGGTTTCTCTTATATATATATATATTCCTCCCACGCTCAGAATGTCAATCTCTATATCCTGCAGCCAACACCCTACCAAATACCACAATGGAAAATTGTTAAATAGAATAATTTGGTGCTGCGCTAATAATAATATATCCCTTAAACCAAAAAATCATAAACCGGAAACTTCACAAAAGAACATATAAACTTCAAAATATATAGAATAGAGTGCACATGAAAAATGCTAAATCATGAATAAAAGTGAAAAGTCTCCAAAATAATAAATGTAGGGTGTAACCTAGGTACACCATACATTCTGTTCATGAAGGTAAAACCCTTCTATATGCATCTTCCCCTGCAGCCCTTCCTAACATTTATTGTGATCCAGTGATGTGCACAGAGTGGCTGCCCTTTTAGGCTGAGAAACCGCAGTGGGAGTTATCGGCTCCCATTTTTGCCAATCACAGCCAGTGAGGAGGGAGTGGGGGGGCAGGACTGAGCCCCATTCTTTTCTCTGTGGTTCCTGTTCGTGCGATCAAATGTGAGCAGGCACCATAGAGAACAATAGGTTTTTTAAGTTTGAACGTTTTTGGAGCTTCAAGCTACAAATCGCTCAAGTGTGAATGCAGCCTTATGGGCACATAGATTGGGGCTCGGGAGTGAGCACTTGTGAGTGCCCCATAGCAAGTGACTTGCTGTGGGGGCAATCGGAGAAGAGAAGAAGACAGAAGTTCAGGCAGGGGACCAGAGAAGAGGAGGATCAGGGCTGCTGTGTGCAAAACATATAACATATTTGTTATTAAAAGGTAAATCTTTCTTTTTTGCTTTTTTTAAATATCACTTTAATTTTAAATGAATAAAGGTGCTTTCTTCCCTGTGTGAAGCTAATGTGTATGCAAGGTCCTCTCAAAAAGGCAAGTAAGGATTGGTGGCATACTGTGCCTAACTGGGATCCTGTTTTATTTTTAATTAGTATAAGAAATGTTGCCATGTGAGAGATTTTCTTTTTTATCTTGGTCTCAGGTTCCATACAGACTCCATGCGGTGCTAGTTCACGAAGGGCAGGCTAATGTAGGCCACTACTGGGCTTATATATACAGCCACACCAGGAAATGCTGGCTCAAGTACAATGATATCTCTGTGACTGAGGCTACCTGGGAAGAGCTGAAAAGGGATTCTTTTGGAGGCATGAAAAATGCTAGCGCTTACTGTCTCATGTACATCAATCATAATCTACCATACTTAATTGCAGGTAAGAAAATCCTGGTAAGAGTACAGCTCCAAAAGTCATTAATAACATGTAAAGTATATCAATTCATGACAGCCAAGCTGATTTCCCTTAAATATAGGCCAATGAAATATGTAATTTTTGTCTGGCTGCTATATGGTACTTTTTTCACATCAACTGGGTGAATCCTTTGTAGCGGTGAATACTATTAAGGTGCAAGCACTTTACGGGACTTTCATCTAACTGTGATGATCTTCAAAGTTCCTACATTCCAAGCCCAGTCTGTATATAGCACTTTGATGATGGGGCATGGCTATATTATACATACTTACATTAGCCCATGTTGGACTGAGACCCCTGGAAGCTGGAAATCATTGAAGTGCACACTGCTGCTCTAGTGATCTCCACGTACTTCTTGGTCCCACATGGTCGCTATTCAGAGAATGCGTTGAATTTTCTAAATTAATGCAAAACATTTTTTGGTTGAACAAGGTGGAAAGCATGACATCACAGCCTTGCCTCTCTACTGTATCAAATCAAAGAACACTTTGCATTAGGCATTTTCTGAATAGCACCCATGCCGAGCAGCTCACCTCTTGTGTTCAGTAAGCAGCAGGGAAGCCACTAAGCATGGAGCATGGAATATAATGGTATTGTATTATATTTATTTATTTCAGGTACTTGTATAGTGCTGCCCATTTATGCAGCGCTTTACATATATATTGTACTTTCACATCAGTCCCTAACCCTCAAGGGGTGTACAATCTAAGGTCCCTAACTCCCATTCATACATACACATATTAGGGCCAATTTAGACAGGAGCCAATTAACCTACCAGCATGTCTTTGGAGTGTGGGAGGAAACCGGAGTACCCGAAGGAAACCCACGCAGGCACAGGCAGAACATGCAAACTTCAGGCAGGTGATGCCGTGGTTGGGATTCGAACCAGCAACCCTAGTACTGCCAAGTGGAAGTGCTAACCATTTAGCCACTGTGCTGCCCTATATGCATGTCATATAAAATATACTGCATGCCACAAAAAAAAAGTCAAAAGTAAAGTGAAAGTAAAGTTGATACTACGGTTTGTGTATGAGTTGTATACCCCCTTTTTTCATAAACCTATAATAAAGAAATATTGAAAAAATAAAAGTCCTCTCTTCCTTGGTGCTGTCTATTCCCCATGATGGTGCCACTTGCCTTCTTCAAGTTCCATTGCAGAAATATGTGTCCCGGCTATGGAGGTGGTACCTGGGTGGTTGGAGAGCACACCAACAAGGGTCAAAATGTTTTGTTTTCTATTGGGTTGGTAGGAAAACTGGAGTTCTTCTTCAATGTACAATATATAAAGATCTGAATCATGTTCCTCCTTCATTCTCTTTTTTGTTAAGACTTTACAAAGTTCCTGAAGTCTCTCCTAATATGTTTTTATCCCTCAAACCTTTCACCATTTTTGTTGCCCATCTCTGAGCTTGTCCCATCTCATTAATATCTTTTGTAAGTGAGGTCTCCAGAACTGGACATAAAGATCCTTTAAAGAGGAATTGGGACCTTCTTCCTCTTGCTGGGGACCCCTCTAGTGATGCAACCTAGAATTTGATTCACTTTCCACTGCCTAACCACAGTTTGCTCATTTTGCAATCTTATGAAAAATGCGTACCCAAATCCTTTTATTTTTTCCTCTGTCGTTCTGGCCAACACTATATCCCCAATATTGTACTCAGAGGATTATTTTTCCCTAGGTACATTATTTTGCATTTTGAAACATTGAAGTGCAATTTCTACTGCTTTGACTAATCGTCCACCAATGCCAAGTCATGTTGCATGTTACAAAACCGTTCCAGAAATATCAACCCCGCTGTTTGCTTGCTGCTTTTACAGGGTGACACTAATCCGAAAATCACTTACCATATTTAGTTGCAAAATAAAGTGTGATGTCTAGGAGTAATTTTTCAATTGATTGTTACACAGACTCTGAAACTGGACAGCTGGAAGATAGAATCGGCACTCTCCCACTTCACTTTGTGCAATGCGTCAGACAGGACAACCGAGGGTTTGAACATGAAGTGGAAGAATGGGAAGAAGCTCACTCCTGCAAGATGCCCCAAATGGAGCCTGTTGTAACCTCAGAAGAAGAGGTCTCTTCCCCTTGCAGTGGTAATTTGAAAATGAAAAGATATCTATGTTTTGCAGCATATGCTCCTCCTCACCATCCTATGCGATTGTAGTAAGTTAGACCTCAGATCAGACTTAAAGCACCCCCCTCCCTTCCTCAAAATACTGGACTTCTCACAGCTAGGCAGAGCATTGTGTTGGGCAGGACTGGAGATTGCTGGACATTTAAGCCTACACATGGGGCAGTATAAGTGCATGCCTTGCTGTGTTATAGCATGTCCTTAACTGCTTGCCCTCCGTCCTATAGCAGATGTACTGCTACAGGGCGGCATAGCTGTGCAAAATCACGTGTGTATTTTTATATATATGTGTGTGTGTGTGTGTGTGTGTATGTGTGTATATATATATATATATATATATATATATGTGTATATATATATATACAGTGGGGATCGAAAAAATTTGTATTAATGTGCATAAAGAAGCCAAGGAAAGATGGAAAAATCTCCAAAAGGCATCAAATTACAGATTAGACATTCTTATAATATGTCAACAAAAGTTAGATTTTATTTCCATCATTTACACTTTCAAAATAACAGAAAACAAAAAAATGGCGTCTGCAAAAGTTTGGGCACCCTGCAGAGTTAATATCTTGTACTGCCCCCTTTGCCAAGCTGAGACCTGCCAGTGTCATGAATTGTTCTCAATCATCGTCTGGGAAGATGACAGCCCAGAAATCTCAAAGAACTGGAAGACTTTTGTAAGGAAGAATGGGCAAAGATACCTCAAACAAGAATTGAAAGACTCTTGGCTGGCTACAAAAAGCGTTTACAAGCTGTGATACTTGCCAAAGGGAGCAGTACAAGATATTAACTCTGCAGGGTGCCCAAACTTTTGCAGACGCCATTTTTTTGCTTTCTGTTATTTTGAAAGTGTAAATGATGGAAATAAAATCTAACTTTTGTTGACATATTATAAGAATGTCTAATCTGTAATTTGATGCCTTTTTGGAGATTTTTCCATCTTTCCTTGGCTTCTTTATGCACATTAATACAACTTTTTAGCTGGGGTGCCCAAACGTTCGATCCCCACTGTGTGTGTGTGTGTGTGTATATATATATGTATGTATGTGTGTGATTTGCATGTCCGGGGTAGGGGGCGCGCGCACCACCCTACCCATGCCGCTATTGGCTGCTGAGGATGTCAATCACCGGGTCCCGGCTGGCGATTCCCAGCTAGGACTTGGTGATCGTCGGCAAAGCTCACAGGGGAGGGACCTGTGCGTAAACAACACGGATCTCTCTTCTGTCAGCATGGACATGCTTCTTTGTATCTCTATGCACAGCATGTCTCCCTAGTAAAACGGCACACAATGTAAAACACACACGGCACACTGTTAACCCTTTGATCGCCCCAGATGTTAACCCCTTCTTGCCCAGTGTCATTAGTACAGTGTCAGTGCTTTTTATTAGCACTGGTCAATGTATTAGTGTCACTGGGGATGTCATTGGCAGTCAGTTCCCACCCAGTGTCAGAATGTCTGCCGCAGTCCCACTATAAGTTGCTGATCGCCACCATTACTAATATAAAAATTCCAGTATATATATTGCCATTTGTAGACGCTATAACTTTCACACAAACCAATTAATATACACTTTTTGGGATTTTTTTTTTTTTTTTTAGCAAAGACATGCAGCAGAAAACATTTTGGCCTAAATTTATGAAGAATTTTTGATATCTTAATGTTTTTGTCCGGCAGCTTAAAAACAAGAAAAAATGGTACTGTGTATATTCTGATGATTGTAGGAAACTTTATTTTAGATTCCTTATGGCCCTTGCTCCATAAAAAAAAAATCTTTACACTATGTTCCAGTTTTTAAAATAAGCTGATGTGTTCAGTGCAGAGCTTGGCAATCAGTATGACAGACCTGTCACATGTCTGTATTTGATGGACAGCTCATCTGCCTATGACAAACCAAAGGTGAAAGTCTCTTTACTGAGACTTCAGGAGGTTTTGGCAGCAAGAAGAGTCTACCACAGTAAAGGTACTATTTGGGCATCTGTTCAGCTACAAAACACAGAAAAAAGCAGATGCGTATATTTGGCGACTGACTTGTGCCATTTGTGATCAGTATGCTCTTTACTTAAAGTGGAACTTCATGTTCTTTAGCAATGAACATACAGTTAGGTCCATACATATTTGGACACAGGCACAATTTTAGATTTTTTCAGATATTTACCAAAACATATTCAAGCTATAGTTATATAATGGAAATGGGCGGAAAGTGCACATTCCCAGGTTTAATTTGAGGGTATGTACATCCAAATTGGAGGAAGGGTTTAGGAATTACAGCTCTTCAAGAGCAGCCATCCCCCCATTTTCAAGGGACGAAAAGTAATTGGACAATTGAATCAAAAGCTGTTTCATGGCCAGGTGTGGGCTACTCCTTCATTATTTCTTCATCAATTAAGCAGATAAAAGATCTGGAGTTGATTCTAAGTGTGGTATTTGCTTTTGGAATCTATTGCTGTGAACCTACATCATACGTTCAAAGGAGCTGTCCATGCAAGTGAAACAAGCCATTGTAAGCTTTCAAAAATTAAACAAACCAATCACAGAGCTAGCAGCAATATTAGGAGTGGCCAAATCAACAGTTTGGTACATTCTGAGGAAAGAAGAACGCACTGGTGAGCTCAGCAACATAAAAAGGCATGGACGTCCACAGAAGACAACAGTGGTGGA